TGCAGCCCCAGTCGAAACAGAAGCACATGGCGAAGTGGCGGACCGAACGGCGGTGGTGATGGTGGCGGAATGGGTGCGGGTGTGTCGTCGGTGCAGCGCGCGATTTCGACTCCCGGCTGCCATCGCATTATCGGCCGCATCGTGCACACCACGTGAGTCCATATGGGGTTATGTTTGAGCGTGTGTGTGTGTGTGTGTGTGTGTGTGTGTGTGTGTGTGTGTGTGTGTGTGTGTGTGTGTGTGTGTGTGTGTGTGTGTGTGTGTGTGTGTGTGTGTGTGTGTGTGTGTGTGTGTGTGATACACACCTCATCACAGCGTCATCCTCATTTGCACACATGTACATTTGCAGCATTCAGCGCCTCCCTGGCGATGGCGATGACGATGACAACAACACACCGCTTCACGTCCCAGCGCCATCAACATCATCAACATCAACATCATTGGCATCGACAGCGTTGTCGTCACCATTACCACCACCACTGTCTCCTCCTCCTCCCCCCTGCGTTCGATTTGGATGTCTGCGGTGTGGGCGTGTGCAGCCACGTGTCGACACCAGCACGGCCGTCTGCTCCGTCTGCATCACCCGGTGTGTACACATGTGTGTCCAGGTCGTGGGAGCGACGGAGACAAATGTGCCTGTCTATGCGTCAGTGTGTGTGAGTCTGTCTGCCTGTCTGCCTGTGTGTGTGTGTGTGTGTGTGTATGTCTGCGTGTCTGCCTGTCTGTGTGTATGTGTCTTCCTGTCTGTCTCTGTGTACACCTGTCTGTGCTGATGCACAATCACATCCTGCCTGCGTCCCAATTAACTCATTCTTCCAACCACCCCCTCCCCCGCCCTTCTCTCTTTTCAACAGTGGCGGGAGTCAGGATGGCCTTGCGCACGGCTGGCTGTTGCCATCAGTGATTGCACACGTGCACGATGTGGCGGATCCGTCCACACACGCGCGCATCCTCATGCCACGTGTCATCGCAACAAAGGTGTGCCGAGTCACCATGCTGGTGTGGTTGGTGGTGTGGTTGCTTGTGGTTGCGTGTTTGTTTGCTTGCTCGCTGTGTTTGTCTGTTTGTGTGACTGTGCGCTTGCTTGTGTGACTGTGCGCTTGCTTGTGTGCTTGGTTGCGTTTGTGTCGGTTTGAATTGCCATCATCACATACGAGCACTCACGCTGGCCCTGTGTGAGACGCAGCTGTTCCTCCTCCGTGCGTCCACGTGCACACGCGCATACGCACAGGAAACACTTGGGTGAGTCGTTGGCATGTGTGCCTGTGTGCGTGCGTGCGTGCGCGTGCTTTTGTGTCCATCTGTCACTCCCCTCTATTTCTCACTGCTCGTCTGTCTACGGCACGGTCACAGGGCCATTCAGCGCAATGCACAGAACACATTTCTCGACATTGCTATCACATGCAGGTCTCCTCAACGGTACGAGCACGCACACACGTACACACACACGTACACACACACACACACACACACGTACACACACGTACACGCATGTGTTTCCTGGATCTTATCATTGTGTGCTCGTTTATGTCAGGTTCAACACCACCACTCACGATCGCGTGCGTGTGTGTGTGTGTGTGTGTGTGTGTGTGTGTGTGTGTGTGTGTGTGTGTGTGTGTGTGTGTGTGTGTGTGTGTGTGTGTGTGTGTAGGGATCTCGCACCGGCATCTCAGCAAACGACGACAACGACGACAACGACGACAACGACGACAACGACGAACGCGACAACAGCAACGGCAACAGCGGCGCCCCGCTCGTCATCGTCGCATGTTCTTGTTGCACTCGATGCGACGCGACTCGAGTTTGCACCACCGCCTGCACCGTGATGGTTGTGGTTGAGTTGAGTGAGCCGTGTTTGCCGTGCGGGCACCGTCATCGCAGCATAATTAATGGACACATACACACGCACAGAGCTTATTTCGACAATGAGGGATGCATTGGCAATGCAAGCCGTGTAGCACGCAAACAAAGCTTACAATCACACACACACGCTCGCACATGACACGACCAAGATGCAGTTCCCACCCGCTTTTTGGTCTGTGTTCGTTGACACCAACCCGTTTGGGTTACTTCTGATTGTACATGCGCGTACCGTCCTTCCCTTCATATCCACGTGCGTGTTTCATCAACAGCGCTTCCCGTGTCTGTAACTTGCTCACAATCCCGCTGGTGGCGGTGTTCGTTCGTGTAAATATGAGTGTGTGAGTGCGTCTGTGTGAACATGTACGAATGTGCATGAACATATGTGTGTGCGTGCGTGTGTTTGAAGCCCATGATCATTGCGGTCAAACGAACACCACCACCACCACCACCACCACCACCACCACGGCGCCTTACGCGATGTACGGTGTGATGTCGTCGTCGGTCCAGACGGAACGCGCGGAGAACAGCGCTGCGAACCGTGCACGCGGCTCAACAGGCAGCGACGATGCTGACACGTTGTCGTGGGCAGTGGTGGGGGTTGTGGTGTGGGGTGTGCAAAAGTGGTTGTTGCAGATGCGTGAGCTTCCAGTTCCATAACATGATGTGATTCAAGGACATGTGTTGTAAAATACGCATGGATACTCTGACAACGTGTGAACGTATGTGCCGTCTCTGTACCTGGGAAGTACTGTACTGTCTGCTTCTCGTCCAACTCCGACGGCTTCGAAATGAGCGCCAATCCCTACGCGCACACACACACATACACATGTATCGAGCACCAGTGTGAGTCAGTTCATGTAAACAGCAGGCAAAAGAAGGACACGCACACATGCAAACAACAGACACGCCAGGAGCACGCACCCACACGTGTATATGTGTGACTGCGGACCTTCAGGTAGTCTGGGTTGGGGTGCATTCCCTCTGGAAGTGATGCCGCCCATGTCTCTGTAAAACTGTCGAGATCCCACGACTGTTGCATGCAAGCAAACCACGCACGATGAGTGGCAATGGCGGCATTTTGGGGAAGAGGACAGGCGGGAAAGGCACACGAAATTTGAACACGCACCAAGCAAAACGTGCGCAAACACAACCACACCACGCACAGCGACATAACATACACACGCACACACGCACGCACACACGCACGCACACACGCACGCACATCACAGCACATCACAGCACAACGAACCGATCCAATTTGCAGGAATTCCTGTGCGCGGAATCGACAGACTGCGGCCTCGTCCAGTCGCCACCGCGCCCCAATATCGTCTGCGATGATGATGGTGGTGGTCGTGGTTGCAGTGGTGGTCGTGGTGATCAATGATGGGTTGTGCAGCAATGGCAGGAATGCTCTTGTCACATGTCATTCCCTCACAGCCACCCAACACCACCATCCAACATCCTCCCCCACCTCCACCTGCACCTCCACCTGCACCATTCACCAGCCACCCACCATCCACCATCCACCATACCCAGTGGCGTGGCCATCTCCTTGAGGACGGCGCGTACAACAAAGCCCGGGATATCACATTCGGCGAGCGACGCAGTGCACTCGTCCAGAGGAACGCCATCAGCAATCCAATCGTCGCCAGCAGCCGTCTTCAGCAGCAGATCTGTCACCTCAAACTTGTACCGCTCCCCAAGCACCCGCCAGTGGTCTGTCACGAACACAGGTGGGGAGGTGAGAACAGGTGGTGAGATGAGTACAGGTGGTGAGATTAGCATGCGTGGCGATGAAATCGCTCAGGCAGCCTCAGTTCAGTCCATATTAGCACGCTCAAACAATCACACGCACACACAATCGTGCGCACATGCACAGAAGAGACAGAGAGGGCAGGAGGAGGAACAGGAGCAGGAACAGGAGCAGGAATCACACCGTCGTGTTCAAATGCGTGCATATCGTGCAGTGCTGTGAGGAGTTCTTCTCTACTTGCCCGCACCACATCCAGCAATGCATCCAGCGTGTACTGCACGCATACGTGCGTGTGCATTTGGTGTGAGGGGATGTGTGTAAGTGTGTGTGTGTATGTGTGTGTGTGTGTATGTGTGTGATGGCGTGCTCTCTTTAAGGCATGTTCAGAGCATGGAAACTGTGGTGAAGAGAACACAACCGCGTGCTTTCAAGGTGCGTTACCAGCGTTTGTGTGTTCCTAGCCGCTTCCTCCTCGGGCCCGTTGTATTCGCATTCGCGCAGGAGCTCCTGCACCTTGGCCACGCTTGGGTCGACGTGTCGCAACTGCACCAGCACAATGGGAACCGGTGGCGAAGTAACCGCGAAAGATGGAAAGCCCACATGAGTTGCTCACGGTATCACTTGCGAATACAATCCAGCAACATGCCCCACTACGACACACACACACATGCACACACGCGCACACACACACACATGCACACATGCACACACACGTACACACACGCACACACATACACACACACATGTCGATGCATAAAGCATACACAGGTGCTATCTCGCCCAACCGCAAACGCAAATGCACGCACGCACGCACCTCAAAGTATGATGCTATGTTTCCGCGGACTTGGCGAGGACGGCCAGGTGGAAATGCGAGCACGTCGCTTGCGTGCTCGGGATCCGGTGGCACAACGTAGTGTGCGTTGGAGACGTCAGCGTGCTTCACCGAATACGTGCGCGTATCAGTGCACAAGACCACAGAGTCGTTCCCACATGCCTTGAACGACACCCTGTCATGCAACACCATGTGATCACAGCAACACCAAGTGAGCACTGCCAACTTTGGCATGCAAAAGCGCAACAGACGCAGAATCCACAAGCTCGCACTCACACACGCACATACACACATACGGGCACACACACACATACACACACGCGCACGCGCACACACACGCGCACGCACATACATACACACACGCGCACGCGCACACACACGCGCACGCACATACACACACATACGCACACATACGCACACACATACACACACACACACTCTCTCTCTGTCTTCCACATGCAAAGCTTACTGTTGATTGCCCTGTTCGATGGCATCCAGCACGTGGCTGTCTACTTGCATCAACACCAAGTCGCTCGACTCAAAGTCGCCCGC